TTCTAAATTAATAAAAAAATAAATAAAAAATTTAAAAAAATAAAATAATAAAAATGAAAAAGATTAAGAAAAAAAATAAAATAAAAATAAATAAATAAAATTAACATTGAGAATCAAAAAAAAATTAATTAAAAAACAAAAAGATCAGATAAATTAAAAAATTAAAAAAAATTAAAAATAATATAACTCAAATTAACTTGAATTTAAATTGAATCAAATTAAATAGTTAATTTAACTTGAATTTGGTATGATTTGCAAATCATTGAGTCAAAAAATATAAATTTGACTTGATTAAAACTTGACTCAGCTTATCTGACTTATAATTAACTTGATTTATTTAGAACTCTATTTAAAATAAAATATATTAAATAGTATTTATCATTATACAGTAAATTTCTTAATGCTGTTTAAATATATATTAAAAAATTAGATGTAAAATTTAGTCTGAAAAATAAAAGTTTTATCAAAGTTTATTTTTCTTTACAGATTTAAATTTTAATCTTAGAATTCTAAATAATAGTTAATATAAAATAATATATATTGATTAAATTAGATAAATTCTAATTGCTTTCTCTAATATAATATTAAGATATGTTAATATTTTTATAATATTACAATAATATATTTAAAAGATTGCAAATGTATTTTAAAAAATATTTTATTAATTATTAAATTTATATATACTATAATTTTTTATTTTATTAAGTTATATTAATATAAATTTAAATATAAATTTTAAAATGTATTATAAATATGTTTTATATATTTCAATCATCTTACAATTATATCATTCATGTTAAAGTATTTTAACTATATATAAAATATCTATTAATGATGTATTTATTATATTTATTAAAATTAAAAGTTTCTGTAAAGTTTATTGACTATGTAATATTTTTTTCAGAAAAGAAAGCTGTAAGAAAAACTTGTAGTAAAAATAAATTGTGAAATTAAAGCAATAAATATACAATGAATATCTGAGTAATAAATTTGCAGTTAAGATATAAAATACCTTTCATTAAGCTTAAATGATAAGCAAAATACTATATACAATAAAAAATCTTTGAAATATGAGTTAGCAGTTTAATTATTATATTGTTAAGTTATTCAGAAAAATGAGTCACTGGTTTTATTATTAGAAAATAAAGATCTTTTATAAACTTGTACTTTTAATACTTTTCTTTTTTTTAGTTTTAGACTATGTGATTCTTATTGAAAATTATTATTTTTTATTAACTTATATATATTATAAAGGCTAGTTTTATGCTAATTTTTTTTGATTATTAGTTGCAAATTTTATAGATCTAATAAAGCTGCAATTAAAGTTTTCTTTTCAGATTCATCATTTTTGTCAATTTTTCAAATTAATATTCTTCAAATGCATTATTATTTGTTTTTAAATTTACATTATTATTATAAAATTCTTTAGTTAAATAAAAGAGTTTTTTAAGTTTAGTAATATTTGGATATATATAATTTATAATTGTAATTTTCTTTATCTTTTTTATATTTTCTTTGAAATCACAATCATTTTTTTTATTTAATAAAGAAATAACAATTTTAATATAAAATTTTAAAATTATTAATTTTTTCTATACTATAAATGCATTTGATCAATATATTTAAATATCTGTAATTATCCTATAAAAAGCCATTTGTAAATTACTTTCCTCTTTTGAATTTCTTCAGAATTTTTTTATGCATCTAAAAGATATTTATTTTATTTAAATATAGTAAAAAACTTGATTAATTTTTTCTATATGCAATTAAACTTTAGTAATAAATAACCCTTTTCTAATAACCAGTTAAATTGTATATACAATAAATAATAACATTTTAAAAAAGTAATTTGGTTAAACATTTTTTATTAAAAGTATTATTTATTATACAAAGAAAACTTTATCTTGTAATTTTCAATCAAAAATAATCTTTTTTAATGCACTTTAAATAGCATTTACTGTATAAGAATATAATATATATTGAATAGCTAAAGTTATCTTTTTTATCTTAAAATCTGATGTAATAAAAAATAATACGTAATACCAAGAAACTCTTATTTAATATAAAAATCTAAAGATCATAGATTAGTAAACTGAATTTGCATTCTCATAAATGTATTACTTTAGATACTTTTTTATAAATTCATATGCTTCAAAAATTCTTTTTCAGAATTCTTTATCAGTTGTAAGTTTAAAATTTTTATGATAAATTTAGAAAAAAAAAAAGATTTTAAAAAATAAAATGATTGAAAATCTAGAATAAACCATTCAAAAGAAAAGTTTTCAAATCTTTTGTTAATCTTATGTCATTTGTAAAAGTGAATCTAATAAAATAGTATAATGATCAATTTTAATTTATTTTAAAGATGATGTAGTCTTTAAAGATATAAAATATTTATAAATTTTATGTTTTCATTCAAATTGGCTAATAATATTACCAGTTAAACCTGATGTCTCTATTTTTTACTATATAAATTTCATCATTATCTAATGGTTGATTACATTCAAATGTAAAATTTTTTGAATCTGTTGGATTATTTTTTCTTTCATCCAATTATATATTTAACTATAAAGATTTGAACTTCTTTACTTTTAACTTGAATATTTAATAAATCAGTTTTTCTTCTAGTTTTTCAAATATATTTGTTTTCTTTTCTGAAATATTATTATCGGTTATATCAACATAATTAATATTATCATTATCTTCAGACAATAAACTTTTCTTTGAAGTTTTTTCAGTTAACATATTTAGAAATAAAATTTATAAAATGTCATTTATACGAAAAAAGAATATTTTATGCTGATCATTATATTTATTCTAGAATAAACCGAATAATCCTAGGATTTATCCATTTGTAGATTTGTAGATCCGGTTAACTGTTCAAAATTATTTGGATAATGAGGATAATAGGATAATCAGAATTTATCCTAGGATATTATCCGTTCAAGGAAAGCTCTATTTTCACTTATGCTAAAAGCATTCATTAATGTTAAGTATGATTATATCGAATTTCCAAACACTTATTTTTTACGTATACAAAAATAAATAAAAGTGTTTAGAATACCTTTTAGCCAGCCGAGAAAAATTATAAGTTCAATAAAATACATCATATCTTTACAAATCCAGCACTGATCTTAGAATATCTACTCTGATGCAACGAATAATACCGAAATATTGTATTTGTTACATAATTCACATTTAAAAATCTGGAAGGTTGTTTGACGAAAATATATGATTGGAAATTTCCATAACTTTCATGCATGAGATGAACGTCCTTACTTAATCCTTTTCTGTCTATTTCTTCTTCATTTTTGAACTTCATTAATTGAACTAATCTTTGGAAGTTTGATATGAAAATTTTCATTGTATACGAAATTCGATAATCTGATTGTCTTCTTTCAATATCCATAATTTTTTTGTTTTTCTTTTCTTTGCATGGAAATTGAAGACAATTTATTATTTGAAAAGAAATTACGATGTAAATAAGCATAATTCAAAAAAAAAAAAGTTTTATTACGTTTTTAAAAACCTTCTGCGTTAATTGTAATCGCGTTTAAATTAATGAAATTTTGTTTCAAAATGAATTCTGTCGACGTAGCATGCAGATATCAAAATTAATATGTATGCCTAAACGAAGAAATCATGTGATCCTGATGTTATCATACTTGCAGGTATTGACATTGCTTCTTACTTAATTAAAAAAATATTCAAAGCAAACGACTCGAGGGATTCTTAGATCAAAATGAAATTAAACATATTCTTGGCTTTCAAAATCCTTTCACATATAAAATAGAACGTTTCAATCCTCTCTGATCATTAGTCAAATCAAATATCTTAATATCTTGATCAAAAAAAAATTTACGGTTACGAAATTAAATCAAACTCATGAAACATTTTAGTTTTTTTTTGCTCATTTTATTGGTTATGCTTTCATCGATCCATACTATTCCAAATCAACTTCAAAAAGATAAGACCTCTCGCTTTTGGAAAAACTAGACCGTTACAGTCTCTGGACAACTAAAGAAACTTGTCTCTGATAGTACCACGTTACGTCCAAATCTTTAACTTTTATATAGTGGTTCTGATCGTCATCATTCGTACAAGATTGTTGGTAAGTATCATTTTTCTAAATTCCGGTATGGATTTGTAAAGTTTTGTTTGTAGTGTCTTGGAATAAGTAATGGTGATGAGGATGCAATCTAGCGAAAGTGTTTGAATTAATTTTTATTTGTAAAGGACCATTTTTTACCTGATCATGTGAATTTTTTTGTCTAAAACATAAGATTCCTCGGTATTCGCAACTTCCTTAAGTATGATCGTGAATCTTACAACAGTATTAAGACGGCATAATGTTCTTTTCTATACGCAAAACCCACGAATATTTTTCATTGCGTTATTATTTTGTAATAAGTGTTACTCCATCTATTTTTGTTATTAACGTTAAAGGGTATAATATTTCAGCAAGCATACTATTTTATTTTTTTTTTTTAAAAAAAAAAAAAAAGTTATCTTTACCCATCGTATATACAACCTGATCGAAATTAAGTTCAAAATTCTAACTTAAATTAACACCGATTATTTACTGAGCAAAATATCGTTCTGTAGGCGGAATTATTAACTTTGCGTAGTGAATTCGATACCAAACGTGGACGAGAGTGAATCACATTTTAAAACATATGATATATAAAAGGACGAGACTTTTTTAACAATATTTTTTTTAATTACTTTTACTTATACTTTGTAATGACTTGCTTCATTTAGATACAATATAAAATCAGCCAAAACAATTTAAATTCTTACACATATAACATATAGGAACTCTTCCAAACAATCAAAAATGTAACCATATTCATATAATTAGTAAGTAAATAAACATTTTTATTATATTCTAAACGCCGAGAACTAGTGAGCCAAACATTATTACAATAATCATATCATTACAATGAATTGGTTCCAATTCCACTAATAAATTGAAACGAGAAATCAGTTGGTCTTTTAATTTATACTATATCATCACTTTTTTCTGAGAGAAGTGAGGTGATGGGAGCTTCACTTTGACACCCTTCTTTGGCCTCCTTCTCTCCTATAAGGATCACCTGATTTGTGGCTTCTTCATGTCTTGACTTATATTTAACACCATCATCACCATCTCGATTTAAAAGTGACTTAATTTCATTTATTTTAATTATTAAGTCTTTGTAATCAGTTTTTGACATTAGATCTTCTTCTTTAGGAACATACAAATTGGCCTTCTTTCTTAATTCGTCAGAAATATATGGTGAATTATACAATGCTGGATTGTTATCTATATCTTTAATCTTTTGTTGTACGTCTTCAATCGGCACATCATAGTATCTATATAAAATATAAAGGTAAGCTCGAAATAATTATGTATGTACGTGCCAATCAATTATTAATAACTTACAAGACATCCGGAAACCAATCCTCCCACCTTCGTTGATTTGGAAGTAGGAAAAAAAGCTCAATTTCAGCCAAAATTTTTGCTTTTTCAAGCATAAACAGGAAATGTGTTCTATTATTTTCAATTTCTAAGTTAAGCAAACCAATAAATAAATTCATGAGATAAACTACAATCAAGAATGAAAACATGACTAATAGAATCGTCATGAACGGATTTTCCTGATAAGTCCATGAGCTAAGTGCTGATGAATCTCCCGTTAAAAACAAATACATGGCCAAGAGTGAAGTTTGATAAGTGGAAAACTGATTCAATTTAGAATCAGGATGTTGAATTAAAGTTGTTTCGGAATTAATCTTGTCATTTGGAGTAACTGATTGATATTTCGTAACGAGATTCCAGGGATTATTCGGATCGGCATTTTGTAAAGGTTCGTCCAAATTATAAATTTGATCTGGAGTCAAAATAATATAAAAAGCATGTGCAAAGCCAATTATGATAATAAATAATATCAATAAGAAGGAAAATATTCTCTTAGCCACACCAACAATAATTGTAAAGTTAGAGCCAAAGTAATCAAGGGCCCGCAAGAATGTTAGAAATTTAAAGTATAAGAATAAATTTGAAATAGAAATCAGTGATGACGAAGGTTTTACAAAACATAACCAAAATAAGGCAGTATTTACGGGGAAAACTATTGCAGAAAGGTCTAAAAATAATAAAAATAATAAAACATAAATATACAATATAATGGTCTTTAAAATTATATCAACATTAAAACTTTATACATACCAAACCAATTCCATACATCTTTGATATACTTTTTAGGATCCCATAAAAATTGTCTAATTTCGTGAACAATAAGTGATAAACCAAGAACTATGCTAACAATTAAAAAAGCCTTTCTCGTATCATTGTTCATAATAGATGGAGACAATGTTGAACCTATTCCGAAAGTGAGCAAATACATGGTAAAATATACCCAAAAGAGATAATAATATAATCTTCCAAATTTGTCCCATTTGAAATTAATTATTGCCTCAGCATTCCAACTATCGCAAAATGTTTCGTTAACTAATATAACGAATAGGCTTTTTCCTGGTCTATATAATTCCTTCCAGTAATCGTAATCAGGTGGATACTTTGTAAAACCCGTGTAAGGTACGACAAATTTAATAAAAGTTTTTCCTTTTAGACTATAATATTCATAATGTATAAACTTTCGAAAGAATCGATTGATTTTAAAAATTCGTTGCGTGAAATCATCTTCTCTACGGCTATATACTTTACCAAAAGTATAACCGACCAATTTCATTTGTTCGGTTGAATCAGATATATTGATAATTGTATTTGGAATAAGTGAGGTAAGCGAAATGAACTTTGAATAAACATTAGGAAAATATGAATTTAAATTTGGCAGATATTTTGTGAAAATACCATAGATTCTATAATTCCTCTCTACATTTTCAAATAACTTGTTAAGCAACAAATCTAAAAACTCTAAAAACTCTACACATGTCTTTTCTTTCTTATAACACTTAATTTCGGATATCTTTTTATGAATAGCCATATAGATGATGTCATCAATCATTTCTACAAAATACTTTCTAAAATCTAGAAATGTTACCTGTAATGAAATATTATATTTCTTAATTTCGAAAATTTTTACTAAGCTTGGTTTTGGAAGGCTTCTGCTCTTGCGTAATTCATCAAATTTAAAACTATATTTATAAAAAATCTTTTTGATTGTTTCATTAAAGCTAAAAACATTAATGTGATGTTTATCATATAATATTACATCATCATTACTTAAAATTTGAAGATGTAGAATGATTTCATTGTTGAATCCAATTTCTTGCTGAACTTGCATTTGACCTAATTTATAAACTTTCAACATTTTATTCTCATATTCCCATCTCAAGTATTTCCCTTCACAACTGAGACTTTTATCGATCTGATCTATTTTAACATCTTTGAAGTCATTGAAACTTGAATAAAGAAATAGATCGTGATCATATAATTTATTAACAGGAATGTTAAAGTCGATCAATTTTATTTGATTCCCGGTAGGAAACATGATTAGACATTGTGTCGAAGTTTCTATAACCATGTAATTATCCTTAAGTTTGTACGCAACATCACAAGAGAGTTCCTTAAGATCATATTCACCTTCATATACGTATGAAAGGTCATAAGGCGACATAATCGTGTATTCAATTTTGCGCTCCTGATTATTATATTGATGTAACATCAAAATTTCAGTATTCTTGATGTTTATAAATTGCATATTCGGATGCTGGTTACCATACTTGAATTTTCCTATAGAATATCTGGTTAGTAAAAAAGATAATAAACTTAGTAGCTAATAATTTGCTCACTTGATGCAATTGAAATTCCATTCTTCATTGAAAATACGGTTATAGCGTCGTCGTAACATATTGCAAACAAACTTCCCTCAACATTTACCGCCACCTCAACATTTACCACCCTATTCCTTCGACCAATTCTTACGTAGTGATTAACGTTAACGTTAGGAATGTCATAGTAATTTTCAATTTTCATTTTTTTAGTGTTTAATTGTAGCAGAGATTTACTATTAATACATATCAAAAAAAATATTTCATTATTTTCAACATTACGATTAGGTTTGATCATCGTGACATAACACGTTAATTTATATGAGCACGTTGTTTTTGATTTTTTTAAAGTTTCCTTTGAATTTACGTATACGTATATATCCTGACCATCTATTGTTAAAAGGTCTCCATTTGGAAGAAAACTTGCATAAATGAAGTTATGCGAGTTTTTATGAATTTCTATTTCTTCATGCGGTTCAATAGTTCCGATAAATCTATCATATCCATCTCCAAAAATCAATAATTTATCGTTTGATAATTCTAGTATCTTGCCCCTACTATTTATTTTGTTCACAAATTTGATTGTTTTAGTATCAATATCAACGTCCCATATAGCCAATGAATCTTCGGCATGTTGAGTAACGACATGTTTCTTATTTGATGAAATAACGATTGATTCAGTTTTTGAAAGTACAATCATATTGGGATCAATTTCTTGAGAAATTACAGTTTCCATCTGATTGAATACGTCTCAATTTAACGTATTTTTAATATTTTTAAAAACGTCAGAATTACACAGAGATTTTTTATAAATATGCATGACGTACTTGTGGTACATGTTTATCTCATCTCATCATCTCAATTAAATATAAAAATAAAAATAAAAAAAATAAAAAATAACTCTAATAAGTATTCTTATTTTAAATTTCCTTTTTGAGTGCATGCATTCAGGTCTTTATTAAAGACAGAAAAGGATGAGACAATGATTAGAACGTAAAAAAAAATTTTTTGTAATGGTCATTCCTATGGATGATCACAAAAAAAAAATGGCGAAAATTGGCGGGTGTAACCAATTTTTGGTCGTACATGCAAAAATAAATATCACTTCTAAGCGAAATTTCTCCTATATTATAATAAACTTATATTATTGAGCATTAAAATGACCCCATCCAAGCAAGAAACCTAACTTCAAGAATAAAGGTAGGTAGTTGTCGTATTAAGAAGATAACCCCAAATGCATCTCGTATAATTGGACAATATATTTGAAGGAAACCTTCAATTTCTGCAACTTATGTTGCTACTAAATCGAAGGATATTGAGAGTAGCGAGACATTCGACTAACCCTGAATATCGAAATGCACTTCCCCTTTGTACATCAATGCTCACATCAGTCCATAAACAGAAACGTGTTGAACGGTCCCGAAAACGTAAGGGACATTAATTGCCAAAAATATTCGTATGGCCGGTTTTTGTGTAAAAGGCAAGAATAGCCTTTTCTGTTTTAGGCTTATAATGGATGGAAAGTTTTACACAGAAATATTGAAAAAGCAACTCCCGGAAATGCACCGTATGTTACGAGATAGATGGCGGCTGCAACAGGACAATGGAATTCTTGATATGGATAGGCATCTAATAGTCTAGACCAGAATCCCATTGAAAACCTTTTGGCAATTAAAAGGAATGTGGAATTGCATAGGCCAAAAAAAATCTTAGTAAATTAGAGAGATTTTTGGGGGAGGAGTAGGAATAATATACTAGATAGCCTTTTAATTAATTTTGTAAACTCAAAGCCACAGTGTTGTTGGAAAGAATATAATATTAATTAGTGTAACTGCCATTTTTTTCTAATCGAACTAAATTTATATTTGGATGATTTCGTAATACAGTAAGTAACACTTGATGATGCAGATCCATTCTAAATTTATTCACTTGGTCGATCGTTTAAATGATCACATGCTTTAAATTTAACCTTTTTGGCTTATTAGAAAAGTTTTTTATTAATCCAAATATTATAAATTTAGTTATTTGCTTATGGAATATGTTAAAATTAACCATACTGTGGTATATTAAATATGGAGGCGGTCTCTCAAATTCTCTTGTATTTTGAGTATTTATAATTACATTAAAATCACATGTATCTTCAAGGAAAAATTCGAGTCAATTCAAAAGACAATTAAATTGAGACACAAAAATGATTGATAGGTAATACATATAAATATAAAAAGATATGAATGATTTATTTTGCAATATTATAAACACTAGTCATAACTATTCATGTAATTCTACATATGAACCATTAAAGTTTGGAAATAGAAATCTGGTTATCAAGAACAATGCTGGTACATTTTATCAAAATAATTATGAAAGTATCATTTTAGATAGGAATAAATTTACCGTTGAATAATGAAGATTTTTGAATTATAAAGTGAATAATTTCTGATGTATTTTATTTTTAAGTGTTTTTATGGCAATAATATTGTATTTTACATATATACTGTACACTAAGCGTTTTTATAAATATATTATATTTTAAATTAATGACATTAATTGTGATTGAGGTCTTCTTGTATTAGCTTACTTCGGTAAGCGAAGAAATTGTGGCATCGCACTAACATTATTACGTTTCATTTATTTAAAATATTAAATGCATGTGCCGTCAATTTTTTGGGGAAGATAAAATAATCTCTTGTAAAAATATATTTAAAGGTTATAAATAAAATTAAGCTTAAGCTAATTAAACAATAAAAGAATTAAAAAATTTTTTTTTATACATAATTTTTGCTGCTAGTATTGATTTAGACATCTTCCTATGTGTTTCACAACATTAAAAATTCCTATAAAAGCTAGTTTTTACTTAAACCCGTATGCTTCTTAATTTGTCCATAATGAAACTTTTGAACATTTACGATCTTCGTTTATCGTAATGCACCAATTTCTTAATCCAAGCCGCGCTAACCTTTCATAAATAACAAGATCAGTAATCCACGTAAACGAGACTCTTCAATCAATCAAGGACGAGTCTTTCTTCGAATTGGCGTTCTTTTTTAATAGTCCTATTACGAAAAATAATTATAAGACATTATAGTTTTTCTATATCATAATGCGATTTCTTTAAAATAGATTTATCATGCCTTGATTTACACGTAATACTAGAATTACTAGAATGTTTGGCAATAAAACAACATTACTAACAACAGTTTTATATTTAAAACTTTAAACCAAAGATTAAATGAACTTTGATATTATTCATAACTTTTAAATAATTAAAAAGTTATCTATAATTTTTAGTTACAACATAATTCCTTTTTTATTAATTTTCTAAATTTTTAAATTGAGGTTGATCTAAAGGATATTTCAGGACTTACGAGTTGTGAAATAATTTAATTATAAATTGTCATAGAATAAGATAAAACCATTTGTTGTGAATATTTTAACCGGTTATTATCAGGTTAAAGATTTTAAGGCCGGTTCCAACCTCTAGTTGTGAGAGATAATTAACTTATTAGAATTATTACAGTGCAGTGCTATTAATAAACTCTTGGAAATAGCAACTTAATCATAAATGTAAGCGGTTTAAGCACATTTATAGTGATTTAAATATTTCTTAAACAATAGAACCATTTCATTTAATAAAAAAAAAACTTAACTAAAATTTATTACAAACATTTTTAATTGTACGTAATCCTTAATTAACCTGATCCACCACTAGCACTAAGATTGTATGGAATATTATGCACTCAATGCATCAGGTAGTTTTTTGAATGAGTTGCCTGCTAATACGTAAATAATATTTATATCATTACCGCAAATCAGATTCGTTTGTCCATCGAACTTGATTATTAACCTTATAAAATAAATTAAGGTTTAAATCTTATTTTTAAATTTTTACTAAAAATCTCTTAAAAGTGCGTTTAAAAAATTGTTTGTACAACCTAATTTAAGTAAATCGTAATTTAAGAAATTTTTCAAAATTTTATTATAATGAAACTGTGATAATAACGCCAAGAGATGTAGTTAATATATAGAGCTGAATATACTCAAAATCAAAAAAAAGTAAAAAAATAAAAATAAGGAAATTTAATGTTTCAATGCTCATTCTAAATGATAAGAAAATAAACAAATTTGCTTTACAAGTTAACCTTTTTTCTAAAAGATGGTTAAGTTTTTTCAATAAGGGTACTTACCTAATTCTTCCAACTGAGAAACCTAGAGAAAAAAATAAAATATACGATCGCTTGACATTATATCAAATGAAAAGAAAGGGGACAAGATTTTATTAATTCGCTGCGCCCAGAGGTGTTAGAACCAAAAGCTAAAAAAAAAAATCAAAAAATCAAAAAAAAACTTGGCAAATGATTTTTTTTTTGGTAAACAAAAAAATAAGTTTTGGGATTTCAATTTAAATAAAATCGATTAGAATCAACGAAACCGAAGTTGAATCTTAAAAACTATCTCGAGAAACAATTAATCGCGATTAATCGATTTCAAAATCGATTCCACTTTTTTGAATCGATTCAAATACATGTAACGAGAATCTAAAAATTTTTTTATGTCGTCCTAACAGTGAATTAAGTTTATCTATTCTTTAAGTTTAGAAGGGAATAATAAAATCTTATTAAAAAACCTATTATTTGTGACAACTGGCATATTCCAATCGAGACTGAATTAAGTTATTTCTGAAAGTATTTTTCTCACAGCGAAAAGTTTTGAATTATTATAATGAATTATGTAAAGATTTGGTAGTTAAAAAATAAGATGTTAAGTTAAAAAAAAAAAAAAAGATTTGATTTTAATACGATACATGTATATGCAAGCAACAACATATGCTGACACAAAAAAAAAATTTTTTAAAAAAAAAGAAGTTCAAGGTTAAAAGAGCATTCACAAAGAATATCAAAAATTATACTAATGATCGAAGTAAAAGACACTAATACTAAAATGGAAAAGCTTGATTTGAAATATTGGGGGATCGTCATCCTAAAAAGGAAATCGGTCAAAAACGAATCGACCAAGGGTTTGGGTATAGAAAATGTTTGATTTTATTTCTCGGAACATTACCAGCACTTCGAAACTTAACATATTGTAACCCAGGCCCAACACCACCTATATAGAATTTGATTTTAATTCTTTGTTTAAAAAAATTGTGAAATCAATTGGGAAAAATTAAATAATAAGTGGTAAAATTTGGAATAATTAAAAAATAATTAACAATTGTAAATAAAATATTATCGTTATTATAGAAAATAATAAAACTAAAAACAATTAGCAATACGATGTTAAATAATATTTATTAACGAAATATACATTTTGGTTGTTAAAAAAAACAATATTGACTATATAAAAGGTAAGTGAATTGACTTGAAAGAAAATTTGTATTCATAATTGCCTTGTAATATCTAATAAAGGAAAGATTTTTAAAATTCTTATACTATTATAGTATTTTATTATATGTTTCTGTATACTGTTATACCGTAATGTTTTAATGAAAAAGAGGTTCATTATATTATCAAAAAAACAAAATCTGTATTTTTTTACAAAAAAAATTATATGTTTCTAGTCTAACCTTAAAAAATAAAATCAGTTTGTATAATATAAATTATTATATATTGTAAAAAAAGATCTATAAAGTATAGCTAATCAATACCTTTTTATTAAATCAAAAAAATATATATTTTTAAACCTAACTTTTTAAAGGTAAATAACATGCAATGGTCACTAATTTAATTAATTAATTCA